GGGTTTCAAAACATCGACACATGGCCGACTCCGCCCATTCTTGCGTTTTACTTGCATTCCATAGCGAATTACAGGACTTGGCAAAATGCCAAAAGCGCTGCGCGCGACACGCGCTACGCGTACGGCTGTTAGGAGTATGCGCCGCAAGTTGCGTAGGCGAAGCATGGAAGAATTAGCCTGTCTCTCAACCCTGGATCTCCATTCCTGCGCACGTTTCGGACGGGGAACCGCTACGCTTCGACAGCTGGGGCTGATAGTCACGCACACCCAAACTATGTGTGATCGTACCATGTGTCTTTAACCTTGCCAGAGATGGTTCCACTGCGGATTTATTCGAGCCGTGTGTATTCCACCCTCTAGCGTGCCACGTTTAACTCCAAAGCAATAGCCTCTTGTTTCATTTGCTGTGACGTGACCGTCGCCTGCCCGATCTCAGCTACATATGTGGGTGTTGGCTGGTCTTGGACAGCGTTCAGACTTCGCGACGGCAGCGCTTCGGTCGCGCGTTCGACGCGATCAATGCAGTCGAAAGCATGCGCATCGATCGCGTCGAACGCGCGACCAAGCTGCAGTCGCGAAGTCTGAACGCTGCCTCCTCTTTTGAAATATATGTACGATTACGATTACGACCTTACGATTTCCTGGAATGCTAAAGTGCCATTATGTAGCCGCAGAGAACTCCAGCCCCACCCTTTTTCTTGGTCCGAGCTGCCTTTATTCGCGTCTGCTTCCGACGTAGATCCAAGGTTCAGAAACTTTGTAGTTATGAGCAGAAGCGTACCACTGATGACAGCTGGAGGGTTTACCGTGGACAAATATTGGAGTGGTCATACCAATGCTTACAGTAACTTCGAGTAGGAGCATGGATGGTGGGCTATAGGTTGTAATACAGTGGCGAATAGGAATCGATGGAAGTAAGCCTCTGCTTTGCATCTTAACGCTTTAGTTAGGTCAAGTGTTAGCGTTAGGTGCAAAAAGATTGCCAGATGCTAGTCCTGTATGGTTCATCATATGAAGGCGCAGGAGTGCTCGTAAGCCAAACTGGTACAGCGATAATCCAGTCAAAAATAAGAATATGGATTCGATATCACGATAGAACCAGTGAGACAACTCAAAATGTACAGCGAATCTTACATCTTTGGCAATA